GATATCACATCAAATACCCATGAAATGCCAAATAAAGAGAGGATTGAAAAAAGGGTAATGTTTGTATGGAAGATAAACTCATATTGGATAGAGCAGAGAAATTAGTATCATACAGGCATTAACCTTTTCAATTTGAAAAAGACCTCTAGCAACAAAGAAACATAAATGCATTAAATTCGATTAATCTAACTGACAACTGCCAAAGAAGAACTTCATAAAAATATCTATAGAGGCTGTTCTCGTTTTCTGGCGTAGATTCCCCGATCAAATCATAATCTTAGGGGTTTGACAGTGACTTTTCACTTATTTCCCTATTCAAAAATTACAAACTACAATTAATAATATTAGGCATTATGATCACGAGTTTTTAAATCTAATTAGAAACGTTTTAAAACTAAATAGGTGGATAAAAAATTCATAAATTTTGAATTTCTTTGGTTAATTTCGTCATAATTTCTAAAACCAGGCAATTTCTAGGTATTGCTGGATTATTGAAACGGATTTTTAAAGTACCTGACTATTATTAGGCCAGAGACAATGGGCAACGAGGATTAACAACAGTTAACGATTCATCAAACTTTTATTACAAGCCAATTTGGCTTCAAACATTAGAGGCTTATTTGACCATTTTAAAAATTTTTAGGTTAATAGTAAAGCCTGCACCAGTAGTTTAGAGGGATAAGGAGACCAAATTGTAGATTAAAAGCTTTGGATTGACTTGAATACTCTTTAGGAAGAAATTAAATCTCCTTGGATGAGATGTGAGAGAAGTTCACAAATAATTGGTTAGGGGAAGGGGAGGGGGGAGGGGAGGTTTTTAGAGATATAATTGCACAAAACCCCACGGGTATTCCTCCGAATGTATATTCTATTTTGAGGCAAAGAAGAGCTGATTACACATCATTAAGCAAAATAATTCAATTTGATCTTTAACAAAACTGCGTAATTTAACGATCAGCAAGCGTAAACCAAAAAGTAGACTTTTTGCTTAACAGTAACCAATCAATACTCTCAAGCTGCTGGTAGAGATAATTCTTGTAAACAATGAATGCAAAACTGTTCGTTCATGGAAATTTATTAATTTCAGGATGAACAAAAGAGAGACGAAAGAATATAGGACCTAGTAGATGACGCGGAGAAAGAGGTTACGCAAGAGAGGAGAAACTAGCATTTTTGAAAAGAATAAAAATAAAAACAGAAGTAAAAACAAACGTCGCCCAATTCATGGTTATTTGGGGTACTGCTATTCCACAATTCCCTATTGTTATACTCCTAAAATAACTCTACACTAACCTACCAAAAAAAAAAACTTGAATCTTTTTAAAGAACTACGTCAAAGGTTTCCTCTTCTTCTTTCTTTGCAAAAATAATTGACATAAATTAAACGATTTAGGCCTATAAACATTGGAGTTTGACTCATAACAGAAGATGAAAAATCTTTAAACTGACTAATTAACAAATGCGAATCGTTGATTCTCATTGATTACGGAATACGCTATCCTAAATATTGAAAAATAAACATCCAGTTGTATCCAAGTTTACAAAAATGTGCCAATGTACATGAACCTTAAGCATCACCGATTACGGAGTTACTTTAAACCATTTTAATTTTATTAGCTATCTAAAACAAATATTCCACTGATGCTTAATGAGTGCTTCATGTTTTAGCGCTTATTTGAGAAAAAAGTAAAACGCTAAAGAAGAATTTGTTAATATTAAGACTTTAAAAGTGACTAAAATTTGTTGGAACACAGAATTCTTCAAGATAAAATCTAGTATTTGTAATTTTAAGACTGAAAGTAATAAATGGTGATTGGTAAAACTATTATAGATGATAGATCCGATTCTTGATTGAAGTTGGTTTGTATTACGAATTGAGTAAAATCGCCGAAAAAAGGGGAGCAGCATTGATTAATCTCTGAATCATGAGTTAAAAGGTTACAGTATATTTTTGCAATGATATTCAGGGCGTATTTGTTGACTGAAATGGGCACAATTTGAAAACTTCTCTATGATGGTAACTGGATAATCTTCTGCCAAATATACAAATACTAAAATCAGAACAAAATTCACTTCTCTCTAGAGTTTTATGAAATAAAATAGAACAATAACATGAGACGGAACTTGACAATAGTTAGTACAATCTGAATTGAAGGTGAGAAGAGTCTGGAATAATGTAAACGGTAATGTAACAGTGGAGGAGTACTAGAAAAAGAGTCGATGAGGAGCCATGATACTATCACTCTACACAGCTCTGGGTCCACAACAAAGCTATTTACAGTATTCTCAACTGTTTTTTTTATCCGCAATTTTGATCAAACCAACTTTAATAAGATAAAACAGAGAATCTTTTAAAATTATCAAGTAATATATGATTCTTCTGCACGGTGTACTGTTTAACTTAAATCTAGGAGTATCAAACTTGATAAAAATTTAAATTGACTTATGAATCAGATAAAATTCTAAAAATCAATCAAAGTTTTTCAATTCCAGAGTGATCTCGACTTTGATAAAAAAGGGTATGGGCCAATTACTGATATAGGAACACTTAAGTTTGACATCTCCTGAGAGACATAAAATCATAAAGGAATTTCTGAAATTTTCACCTGAGTGAAAATCATTTCAACCAGCAAGTAAATCCTAAAGGAAGTGTGTGAGCTACAGTTTCGTGCACTCAGAGAGGAGGAGGAGCTTCAGAACGATAAAAATGACAGGAATGCAGCCAAATGTCAGCCTGTTGAACTGCCTGATAAGATATAACTATAGAAAGGCTTTTTTTTAGCTACCGCCTTTTAAAAGGCTGATGTCGTCGGAATTACAGCAATCAAAAAATGAGTGAATTTTTCAATTGTAATAATGATGATTGGAGAAAAAAAAAATACAAAAAAAACACTGAAGGCAAATGTGGCATGCGTTCAAATACAAATACTTGTAAAAAGCAAAAATACAGTTTTTCACTGAATTCCGAAACTATGACGTTATTTAAAGCACAAAACCAATCAAGTTACAACAGTGCTTTCAAAAAGAAAAAATTCAATAAATAACATAAGAAGCAGTTTCAAAGTAATTAAGTATGTTGGATATGCTTCGAGAGACAAATGAATTATGTAATTTTTCCAAAAGCGATTATCATTCAAAGCTTTCAATGAAGAAAAAGCTGGATACTAAAAAAATATAAAAAGTGTCAGCAGTTTTATTGAACAGGTTGCCACAACATAACATGGTGAGTTGGAAAAGTAAATCAGCACTTGTATGGTGAGGATTCAGTAAATTTTACCTAGGATGGATATCGATGAAGTCACCAAAATTGTTGAGAGATTAAGACTTGTTGATGTTGAATTAAAGCCAGCTAAATATGTTAAAGGCTGATGCTGATGTCTCATCAATGAACATGTTAAATGATAAAACCAGAGGTCTGCTTGATGAAAATGAAACATCTCCATACAAATTCAAAATAATTAAGTTATTTTGTGAGGATGATCTCTGAAAGGTAATTTAAGAGGCACCTGGAGAGTAAGTAAACTGCCTCAAGGAGCTCCTTAACACAATTTCAATATTGAACAAAGAATAAAATGTTCCCACTACCATCAATGCCCTGCCTTTCTTGAATAGTTCAAGAGAGAAAGTTTCTGCAAATTACCCGAGAAATCAATCAAATAGAGTCAATTTCCGTGGTAATCAACAAAATATTCTGGACATAGCACTTTCAAATTTACCAGAATACATAATGTTATGTGTTGTATTTTGGTATGGAAAGCAGATGAATGCAAATGCTTGGTAATTACACATCAGTTTCAGATCGTTCAAAGAAGCCAACACAAATAGATAAAACAAACTGAATTGTGCTGAATATAAACGAGCCAACTCATCATGTTTTGAGATCGTGATCAAGCAGAGTAGAACAATGAAAGTATTGGGAATAGGAAACCCAAAGTAGATTGAAAGATAAAGAGAATAGGCGATGAAAAGAGCGAACCAAACCGAGACATGATTTATCTAAAATATTACATAAGATTAAGAGATAATGAAAACTAACAACTACAAGTAACACATTGCAACTAATATCTTAATTTAAAATTTAACAAATAACATTAATTACTAAACAAAAATAAAATAAGTTAGGAAAAAACAAAAGAAAAAAGAAAACTCGAGGGGAAATGAAAATTACGGAGAAAGTTCTGTGAGATTTTTTTCATAAATTACTGTCATCAGACATAATAAAGATTATTTCCAAAATTGAAGCTGTATGCGCCTATCTATGTACATCAACACTCGCTAGTGTTTCGGTGTCTTTTTTGCAGTTACACTGTCCTCAAGGAACATGGTCAAAAAAAAGTAAATAAAATAAAGTAAAAAACTAAAAAAAATTAATTTTTGATTTGTGAGCACAAGTATTGATTTTGTTTTCCCTTTCTTGTTTTTCAAACAGGTGGCAGAAAAACTGAGAAATCAATACACTTGTACACAAATATTACTTTTGAAAACTGTTTGAATTAATGAGTACCTTAAACCCATAAATGCAAAAGTGCATTGAACCGTTTAGGTTAGAGTAAAAAACGATGAAGAAAGAAAATAAAGGATTAACAGTATGATCACAGTCAGTCCATATCTGCCCAGATAAAACTTGATTTAATTTTAAAAAGAAAAGAAATTTAAAAATGTCTAAGAATTAAAAAAATGACGAATAAAATTCATAGTTTTCTAGGTTGTTTTCATTTTTTTAAAAGGTACTAATTGCGAGTCCTCATCATTGTTGTTATTGTTATTTGTTGTAGCGGTAGAAGCATTTAATTGGGCAGCGGCTAGGAAATTTGAAATGGACTGAGAGGGAAGGGTTGGAAGGGCAAACTGGGACTGAGCAGAGGGTGTTGGGTATCGAAGGAACTGTTGGGGGTGAGAGGGGGTGGCTGGAACTGTTACCGTTGGTGCTTTATTTAAAGCGACACCGGTAGTGAACGCAGCCATATTACCAGCGGCAGCAAGCGGAAGCCTGTACTCACATGAGACCGGCACAAATGGTTGCAACAACTGTTGGTACGTTGCTGTAGCACCAGGCTGGTACATAGGCACTCCAGACTTATCACCTGCGGCTCGTTTGTACGCCATCCCAGGAAATGCCTGATAAATCAAAAATCGAAACAATTAAAAATAGTAGGTTGCAAAACCTCGACCAGTAACATCTAAATGTAGTTTTAAAGGAAAATCTTTCTAATGAATTCGGTTTTTTTTCCAGAGTCAGATTAGTTTACAGGCATGACAATTTGTACAGTCTCTGGTCTAGTTGAACTAGAAATTGGAATTCTTCCAAAATAATTGCTCTATTTCCACAATTTGGCGACTCTGTTTGCACAACCACTTTATATGAGCAACAGTGTGTCCACTTGAGAAAATTAAAAGAAAGAAGAGACATGCCGGAGAAACTTCTGCCATTTTCCAAAACTTTTTACCTACATGTTAGTGGTGGGTATAGTAACAGGACAGCTTGGCCTGAGTCAATCTACTTTGATTCTTTTCTCTTTCTCTTTAGTGTTCACAAAACTAAAAGAGCAGTCAAGGGGTGTATAAAACAGAACCCTTGCAAGCGCTTTAATCAAAAAACTGGAAGAGATGAGGCCAACTTGAGGTAATCTATTTGGCTCCTATATTTTTAGAAGATAAATGCTTCTACGAGGTAAACACGGGACGAGGGATTGAAATATCATTGTTACAACCTAAAAAAGCTAGGTGATCCACAGCGATAGCAAGCATCAACATGAGAGACACATGTGGTGAGGATTCATATCAACGGTAAAACTAACAGACCAGGTGCCACAGTTTGCAACGTTGTGGACTTCCTATCATACTTCATTGTTTACATAGAAAACTATTCAACATCAATTCTTGAAAACGTACATGTTTTTTTCTCTGTAAAATTTCCAGAAATGATATTTATTTGCTATCCTTCAAAAAAATAAAATGTTAGCAGAGATTTTTAAACACTGCAAATGAGGTACGTGGTCTGGTAGTTTCACCGTTGATATTAAAAAAAACGTTACTTTCCAATTCGAAGGTGCGGTTTCTCAGGAAAGGGCCAGCGGGAACAATTAATTCATTAGAAAAAAATTAACTGCAAGCATCACACTTATCAGAAATTAAATACCATGAAACACTGAGCGTAAAAACGTTTTGTTAAACAGCCTTTTAGAAGCACTGGCGATCTTTTAAAGAAACCTACATCCTGAGGTACTTTGTAAGTCTCTGTGCAAGTCTCCTTCATTCACATTTTTCAGTGTCTATGTATCAATAGGTGTGTGAAAGTTACTACACAAAAGATTACCTTTCAGCTGGGTAAAATCAGAGAAAATGGAAACAAGATTGGGAAGTGAGAGTATCAAACTTTGAAAAAATGCCTCTGATGAGATAATTCCTGAGGGATCTCAATTTCTCATTTGAATTGGCACAGTTCACCAAGTAGAAAGTTACGCAACTGTTTTTAGTCACAGTTACCTCTGATAGCTTTCTGCTGTCTTGAGCACAATCAGAACTGATGGGTAAGACAAGTTGGGAGTATCACCAACAGCAGGGGGGGACCTAGGTCAGAATGGCGTTCCGCATACTTGCTAATTTGATTTCCACTGACTATACTCAAATTCTTTAAAATTAAATTCTTGTTTGTGTGTTTTAATAAAGAGGAAGTTTGAAAAGAAGCAAAAATCCCAGGAGATTATGACTTCCTTTTCCTGAAATTTGCAAATTAATTTTTTTCTTAAATTGAAAAAAATTAGAATTTACGGATAAGATGAGATTAAAATAAGTACTTCAAAAGAAGTACTGTCTTTAAAACACTTACGGGGAAAATAAGTGCTAACATTATGGGAGAGAAAAGCGGGTTTCTTTCTCTTTAATTTTAGTGCAGGGAATTAGAGGGTATCATACCACATTTAGTTATTGAACCTATGTTTGATGGTTACTACCTGACTATGGATTCTAGTAACTAGGCACTCAACACTACAAAACGTACACCAAATTGATTAATATTTACAGTGTTGTTACAACCTAACCTAACTAGCGGGATTGTTAATAGAATTTTTCTTATTCCTTCTTTTTTTGACAAAACCATTACCTAACAGACATACTCTGAATCAAGCTCAACTTCAAAAACAGATAGTAAAATATGTTGCACACAAAAATAAAAATAAAAAATTAACTAAAAATGAAATTGACGTAGAATAACTTGTGTTTATTAATTTTGACTAACGTGGAGCAAATGATGTCAAATTTTAGAGATAGGCAAGCATATGCTCAACTATGCATGGGAAAACATCTTATTTATAAAAAAAAAAAAAAAAAAAAAAAAAAAAAAAAACCACTTATCAATTATTCAGGGACAAATTGGCAATGGAGAAAAGATAACTGAGAATGAAAAACATTTTGGCGAAAAAAAGATGGAGAAAATGAAACCAATTTAACTAGATGTTCCATCACTGAGAATACTGATATGAATTTATGTGATATTACGAGAGAGCAAATATGAGAAAGGGGACATTAAATACTTACAAAATTATCATAATAAAGCTGACCAACTGCTTTCATATCCATCTAAAAAATAAAAGGAAAGGGGAAAAGATGCATTAACGGTGAGATTCAAGACTTCAGACAAAATGAAAGTAAGAGAATTAAGTTATACAATAGAGATAGCAGCTATTCTTAAAATAAATATATGATTTTGAGTTTAATCTATTTCAGACGTACAGTAACTGTGAAATAGAATGAACAAATTTTAACTGGAATGTTGAGCACAAGTGGGTACCTATGAGTTCTTTAGACTTGGAGACTAGAGAGCTCCATTAGTTACAGAACGGCAAAACGAAGGAATAAGAAATAAATCAACTAAAGTGTTAGCGAATTTACTTGAACTGAAACAAAGAACACAAAACTACTGCCAAGAGAACTAGCTAATTAGCAAGGAGTGGGAGAAGACACGAGTAAAATACATAATGTTACAAGTAAAAAACTGGGCAGCAATAAAACCTGGCTCTTCGGGGTGAAAATTTGAGTGAAACATTCTCACTGAACAAGATTGTTTTTAATTGATTTAAAGAAATTGGAGCACATAAATAATGGACTTCACTGACTCTTTGATGTGATGGAGGGTAGAAAATAACAAAAAACTTTCCTAGTCAGCAAAGATGAATTTTTGTAAGGGGGAAGGGGGGGGGCACAAGTTTAATAACTTCTTTTGTTACTTTCCTGATGAGAATATTACTGCTAACACATTGTAATTTAGCATGACCTGCCGATTAAATTGGGGGTGACCTATAACAACAGCCGGTGCTCATAAAACCGAAAATGAACTATATGCTTGTCCTGATCATTCTCGATAGAATACATTCAAATGGGGAATGCTGCAACTTTCAGCCTGATTTTTCTAAGATTATTGTCAGTTTTACAAAGCTTTGTGGGTTTCCTAAGCAATTGGATGGACTTTACTTGAATTCACTACATTGCAGCTTTAAATAGTTGAAGGTTTTTAAAAAATTCACCTAAAAAAATACTTGGATGCTTTTGGAACAGACACTCTGGCCTATACCATATCCAATGAAGCAAGCAATGCATGGGTAGTCTATTATCTAACTCTCTGAGAGGTCAATAACTTTTCCGTGCAAGACAGACTAGTCTGAGAGTCTCTTTTGAGAAAACTTCAGACTGGATTTATTTCAATCTTTAATACTTCGATATCTTACGGAGTAAAAATTGAAAATTATTAGAGGGAGAAAGAATGTCCATTCATTTATCAAATATGTTAAGTATTAATTAAAAGTATTCCTCGATTTATGAGAATTTAACTTTGCAGACACAATGTCAATAGACCCTGAAATTCTTTATTGCATGGGTTATTATGCTTAAAATGCAGATAAAAAAATGTATGTATAAAAAAAGTGAAAATAAAAATTTAAAAATAGAAAAATAAATAAACACTAAAAGCAATTGATCTAACTTTTCATTTTTTCAAACGTAAAGATTGATAAATTAAAAGCTGGCAGAACTACAAAATGTTGTTACTCTCATTGAAAAATACTTTACGATAAGTACTTCAAAGAGAAAGTTATATAAAAAATATTAGATAAATAGCTGATTGATGATACTGAATTCTTTAGTATTTTAGCTCCTTATAAACTTTAGTTTTTATTAGGATTAAAGTCATTGCAGATGTACACAGTGTGCTACTAAAAAGAAAACAAAAAGTCAAGATGAAATTCTGCCGTAGCATGAAGGAAACTAATCCAAACATCAGATTAAGAGGAATTTCAATACAAACTTTTGAAATTAACAGAAATCAAAGGTAGTTTCACCTCCAAAAACTGTAGAATTTTTTAAATATAAATTTTGTTTAATGTTTAGACACTCATCTGAAGTTTATAGGTGCACCGATTATAGTGATCTGACTAATTTAACTTTCTGTCATTGGACCGCTGTTTCAGGTTGAGCGGTCCTACCTGGAATACTGTGTTTCTTTTTTTTAGTCTTTTACGGTTAAAAATGTTTCAATGAGAGTAACATGAGACTGGTAAAATAGCAGTAAAAAATAAAATTGAAACGTGCAAAGCAACTGAGATACCATTAATAAGTCATCGGATGGATTTCGGGTTCGTTTCCTTCCGGCAAGCTCGATGGGAGATGCGGCAAGAGACATAGAGGTGGCAGCGGTTGAGGGCTATTAGTTGGCAGGAGAAGCCAGATCAAGGTCAAGCCAGGGAAGAGAAGAATACAAGAGGAAAAACATACAGCGGTAACGAAAAAAGAAAAGAAAAGAAACAAATGAAATTAAAAAACAGAATAATAAAATTGCAAAATGAATAAACAATTTTCAAAACAAAATAGAATGAGAAATATAATTTTGCAGCTACTGGCATCAGATTCAAAATGGTCTCGAATCTGAAAAAATTATTTGGTCAACAAGTCAGAATTGATGAGTTCCATTAGTGCATGAGAATATATTTCAATAGCTTTCTTCAAAGGATGACATTTAAAGTTTTTTCTTTAACACCTGATGTGAACACGATTTTACATCAGGACCGGTAACAGAAGTATTCAAGAGGACAAATGCCAAAAAATGTATCGAGGATGGCTTGGCGGAAAAAATTCCTGAAAATTGTAAGAAAAGCCTGATAATTTTATGATATTTTAAGTCGTACACAGAGGGAGGAATCCCTTGAATCTCCGCGATCTTCAGCTATGCATCTGACTTCTTCTTATTGAAATACTACACACAAATGGCACACTTTATCACTCGACAAGACGTCCAGTAGTGAATCAAAGGGATGATGCAAAATTGAATTTTATTCGTATGTTTAGGGATTAGAGTAAAACAAATTACTTGTTGAGGCAACTTTGATCAAATAATTTTTTCAGCGGCAAAAACAGGTACTGAAGTGTTCACTGGGTCTATTTCATTTTTCATTCTACTCACTACATTGACAATACTGAGGACGTGGAAACTATTGAAACTTTACAATAGAACAAATTGTAGTTATATAAAAAAAATGAGACCATTAGATTTCCGGTTCAGCATCACAGCTACTTGGGAATAAAGGGACTTTCCATTTTTACTTTTGACCTAATTTATGAGCAATACATTAAAATTAATCAATATTATGCTATGTGTAAATGGAAAAGATGATAAGTATCTGAAAATCTAATGATTCTAATTAAGTATTAGTCTGAAATTATAAGATCTGTTTAAGAAATCATCTTCTTGGTTAGAGAAAAACAGCTTTTTAAAAGGCTTTCTGCGGAGTTTCATGAGGTCTTTCTCTTGATTCAACAGAAGAGAAGCGACCCAGGAATGAGCAATGTTAGAGCAGAATTTTAACTCCAAAATGCCATTTGAATGCATTTATGACCCACTGAACTTCAATACCTGATTTTATTAGGTGCACAATAAACTTTGTAAAATGTCAAAGTTGGCATATAAAACGTAAAGTTGATCAATGATTATAAACCGATATTTAGCCTTCATGAAAATGATTCTTCGCTGTCTATTTTAATTATATGATGTTTCTCTTATCTTATGGTTTCTATTTTTATGATACTGTCAAATAATATTTCCAGAGAGAAGACGCTTATGAATATCGAGACTAGGGTCAACCAAAAAAACAATGAAACAAAACAACCAATTGTAATATGTAATGATGAGAAAACTTTTAGGAGGGCAGAAAATGAACTAAAAATAAAATGTTATACCAAGCTTGAAAAAGCAATAAAGAAAAATAACGGAGGTGCGAGTTGTTCTCAAGTTACTTTTAGACTGTCGCTGTAAGCAGATCTGCAATGCAAATGTGCAAAACTTATGCATACGTAAGTTAGAATATTTCTTTCAATTTCAGGTAGTGAATTGCTTTCATCTTTCAGAAAACAAAAAATAATAGGGGCTTTATTCTAAAACTTGAATTAATTTGCATCACAGGTAAAAAAAAAAAAAAAAAAAAAAAAAAATTAGTAAAATTACTTTGGATGGGTCATTTGGACAAAAGAGAGGAATGAAAACTCATCGAAAAGGGAAAGGACACGTAGGTCATTAACGATAGTTTATGTTGTATTTAAGATGCTTATATTACTTTAAAAGCTGATATTAAATATTTCAAACGTCAGGCGGTACATACGCTTAATTATTAGAAAAAAAGCACGAATGTAGATTAAGAAGCATTAACGGAGTGGAAAATAGACTAGAAGGTAGAAATCTCAGTTAGCGCTTAGGTGCATTTAACATGCTTGCGTCAAAGAAAGAAAATGCAGTCATTAGAACAGTTCGGGGTTCTAATAAAGCATCTACATCACTGTGAAAAAAGGAGGTAAATTTCAGACAAATCACACACAAAAAAATTTACAAATGTACAGGTTTGACATTCAGAGTGGAAAGGAGTTACAACAAAATTGATACAATTAATTCTCAGAGATATCTTTTTGAAGACATTTTTTTGTAAATTGATATTTTTGATGCGACCACCAAAAAAAAATGAGGATTTTTCGATTATCACAAGCATTTTTCCTCCACAAATTTTGGAGGGACCTTAGAAGTGGCACCATGAAGAAAATGCTACGCAATCCATTTTAATTGGTGTATATCTATTTTGTGACAGCTGTCAAATGATAAATGTTGGTTTATTTTCCTTAAAAATGGAAGTCCACATAACTGAATGCAAGCCTGACATTAGGACAACTAAGAGGTTTTATGGGAGATTTTTTTTATAGCGACAACGGTAAATTCAACTTGAAGCTCATACAGCAATTATTTGAAATAAAAAAAAATGAATAGGTAAAAAAAAGAGAGAGAAAGAATAAAAATGCGGGGAGAAAACACGAGTAAAGGACTAATTGAAACTGGACTAGAGTCTCTTTTGATGAGAAACAAGTAGACATATGATCTATAATTTAAATTAACGAAAGATTGGCAAAGATCAATTCAAAAGGTATGCTCTTGATAATTTTAAAAAACGATCAAAAAACTTACAGCTTGAATCATACATTTTTCTTGAAAAATGCAGACAGAATCTATTTGCTCTCAATTCTACTGAGGCCCAGGATAATAATTTGGTTTAAATGGAAATAAACATTTTATTTCCTGCTGCAAGGCCTAAATATTCTAAATTCACTAATTATGGCACATTAAGCAGTGTCCTAATTTCACCAGAGGTTATAAGATATAGATCCATAAGATCCATCTGGAAGTCAGGTTTCAAGCCCCCCCCCCCCCCAAAAAAAAAAGAAAAAGATTCAGGCTGGAAAAAAAGTCTAAAAGTTGGCACAACCCTAATTTCTGTGGCAACTTTGTTTTGTTTGAAATTGCATGCTGCATAGTTTAAATATGCGTCGATCCTGAAAATAGAGCTCACTGGCCTTCTGAAATTTTGAGATAGAGGTAAAATCCTAACCAAAAAAAACTGAGAGAAAATAGTCTGACAAAAATACAAAACTGTTGGGATTTAATTTATTTTCTTGATTGTTACTTTAATGCAAATATTAAAATTATCAAGAAAATACTTATGGCACTGTGATGTTGAATACATGAGGTAAAAATTTTAGTTTTATCTTGGAAACCGAGGAGTTTACTTTGAAGCAATATTTCTCTTTCTTCCACACAAGGATATTTCAAGTTTTCATGAATTGGTGAGAACTGAATATCTTGTATCAATTTGACAAAACATAATTTCAAAAAAAAATCAGACAGATTCACGAGATAAGTTTTTCGTTATACAAGGAGAATTGTCCTTTAATTGATAAGGACTAAAATCTTTGGTCTATTGCTTTAAAGTAAAGTCCTCACCTGAAATTTGTAGAAAAATGTTAGTGTGGCTTAGGGACAACAACAAAAAATTCATAGGCAGCATGAGATATTCAGAATCGTCAAAGTTGACACTGAAGACATGTTACATGGAAGATGTCTTAATGACACGCAGCTAAAAAATGGAGAAGTGTTTTAATCGTACTCCTCCAACTTTCAATTCTAGGAGCTTACTTATCACAAAATGTTATTTTACTCCACTTGAAAATTAATAGGCTGCGAGAAGAGGGACGTACTTAAAGACAACAATAAAAATTCACAAAAAGTATTGATAAGGCGTCCTGTGGTAGCACTTTTTTTCCTAAGGGGGGGGGGGGTCTTTGGGAAGTACAGGAGGAGGAGGAAGAATTATGGAAGACAAAAAAAAAGGGGAATGACTCTGTAATGAAGAGGAACTTAGAAAAGACAAAGGTGAGAAGACAAAGATGACATGATTATTCAAACAGGTGAGATTAGTTTGCTCTTTCTTTGTACAAAAGATTCAAGCTAAGGAGACAGAGCTTGAGTGTGCAGGGAGTGCTCAAAGTTGACCGTCTGTGGATCAGTGAAATAAATCAGTCATCCACTTTAACAAGGGACGAAACTCGCTTGATCTTAGGACTTGGGGGTCACGAAGATTATACGAGTTACAACAAAACTCACTTCAAAATATTTTTCTAAAAAGTTACCATCAATTTAAGATTTGAGATAACAGAATTAGCGATGCCTTTCTTTCAATTTAAAACAGAATCAGAGCTTTTAAAACCTTCGATTATTGAAAAACTCGCAGGCAAATCCAAATTTTTTGGAGAAATTATTTTCAAAATCCATCAATTACTTAAGGTTTATTGGAATATACATGGGGAAAATAAACTCTGAGCTCATTTGATACCTCCATGCATCATGACAAAGAATATTAATAAATAATTATTGGCAAAATTTTCGCAGAAAAATGATGTGATTTTGATCAACTTTGAGCTGCAAGAAGAGTACGTAAAGCAAAGATATGAGTGGACAAGAGAATAAGTATAGCTATGACATACATACTAAACACCTTTGACTGATATGGAAGCTTTTGAAAGATTGCTTGAATGTTGACTCACGGTTTAAGTTAGACTGTCAAGAAAAGACAGTTTTCATGGCTGGTTCTCTCTTTCTGTGTAATGTAGTGGCGAGGCGCGAATGATCGACATTTCCCCATTTGAAGCTATGGTAAAGAATCGATTTTTAAGGTGTTCGTTTCGAACACCCTGCTTATCGATTCTTTTCCATAGGTTTAAATGGCAGATCAATCGATAAATCGCAAAACACACCACTAGCGTATTATTTAAGGAGAAAAAAGGAGAGCTCTACCGTGATGGCGAAGAGAGGCGTGAGTGCGGAGATGAAGTTTTGAGAAAATGGGCTCGGTAGCGTCCGAGCGGAAAAGATTATCGAAATAAGCCTCCGTTTTTTGTCAAATAGCCACTAATCGCTCGAAAGGCTCTTAGAAATCGTTTGGATCATTAGGAATCGACCAGTTTCGTTTCAATTATAGGAAAAGGGTATGATTCATTTTCAAATGTCATTTTTAAAGATGCGAAGATGGTGATTAGAGTGATATAATGAGCTGGTTACACGCTCAAATTTCCATCAATTTCCTATCAAATGGTGACTGGTGCGCACCATCTACCATCAAATTTCTGAGGCCTGCAAACATTTGATGGTAGATGATGGATCTGTGGGCCTCATCCTTCATCTGATTTCCACACAACCGTGCTTATTTCATGCGTATTTCAATCAACACGCTGTTTCAATTAATTTTACTCATCAATCTAGATAACTCTCGACCGCCATCTTGGTCATCATTTTGATCAGAATTTGACGGAAATTTGAGCGTGTAACCAGGCCATTTGGACGATGCGTTCCAAATCAGATACAAAGGTGGGAGGAAGTGAAAAGAAAGCGAGGGGTGGGAGCGTACCGAAAGTGCAGCCTTGAGAATGACTAACAGGTGTGTAGGGGGATGGTAATAGCGACAGGGCTGCCTAGAGCATCTAGAGTTGACAGCATCCATGCACACGGTGACAGTGTTATCAGGCAGGAGGGTAACACCTTCCCGGGGGTGCGCGTAGCGGCACTCACCCCTTTGGCAGGCCCCACGTTGCCACTCGCGACACACCTGGACCGTTAAAGACAACCAACGCTACCGGATTAAAAACTACTCAAAAATATCATTCAACCACTTTTTACACACTTCTAAGCACATAAACAAATCCTATCAAATCAAAATCAATTCTGTGCTTGGGACCAATAGACAAAAAGTTCCACCCAAGGCTAGATAGTTGGCACCTTGAAAACTATCTCAACACACTTCTTCTTGGGAAGGGGGGGGGTGTCAATAAACTGAACAGAGAATGTTGGTTAGCCCTGAAGAAAGAACACATTTTTAAAAGTGCCTTTCACACTTGAGAAACTGGATCTCCCTTCATTCCATCTCTGAGGAATTACAACTCACGTGTGGGCATCATCATAATTATTGGAAACTCAAATTTTTACTATTCATTTAATTGTAAACCAAGAAAAATAGAAACCTCAGCAATTCTTAAACCATATATTAATACTATCAGCTTTTTAAGTAAATCTATCTGATTGAATTTAAGTTGATTGATGTAAAAAACGCTGTGTTTAACTCAGCTTTTGGAAACTTCATGCCTACTCTAAAGTACACGTGGGAAACTAAGACGTTGGTTGTTCTCTACGACGATATGACATAGACTTAACGCGCTATGCTAAAGCAATAGGCTAATGAATGTACCACCTCCCAATAATAAATTAGGCCCAGCAACGAAAGCTGGAACTTTTAATGAGGCGCGTAAGCTTTGATCTATAGGTACATCTTTTCTCTCATTCAGTATTAATAGGGAATCAGTGGCGTGGCGTGCTCTGCGATACATCGATGATTGATCTGCCATTTAGACCTATGGAAAAGGATCGATAAACAGGATGTCCGCAACGAACGCATTAATAATCGATTCTTTACCATAGCTTCAAATGGGGGCATGTCGATAATCGATAATTAACGCCGCGCCACTGAATCGTGCCCACGCGGAAAAGGAGCTGCGCAAACAGAGCTGCAATACACCTGACGATAGGTTGATTTGAAATAAAAAAGAGGAACATTCAGTTAAAACAGACGGACTGAGAGAGAGAAAGAGAGAGAGAGAGATACAGAGCCAGAAAGGTTTGGTAGTAATGAGAAGTGCTCAGAGAAGCTTGGTGGATAAGAAAAATTCTGATTACTAATGGGAGAATAAAAATTCTGACAGCTTGACAGTGGGATAGAAAGAATTGAAAGTTACTTCTAATTCTAATATACGAACACATAGTTTCTCACACATACTAGGGCCAAAAAAAGGGTTTTAACGAATTATTCAGTTAGTAGGTTGGGGACAATTCTATTACGACCAAGACTAATAATTGGGACAAAATGTAACAGACTCAAGTAAACGTAACTAATTAAATGAATTTATAAAATTAACGAATATTCCCTTTCATGCTAGTGGGTGTGAAGAATTTTTTTAAGGTTAGACCCTCAAAACTTAAAGCAACTTATTCAATTATTAAAAACAGAATTGTTAGAGGTGTGCAAGAGGAAAGAAAATAAAAATGGAATAGAAGCAGCTTGAATTCATAGGTGAAGGGAATCAGACATTAAAGGATGAAATGAGCTGCATCACTCAAAAAAGAACACGATTTCAGGCTCATCTGTGAAAGCACACATCTGCACAGGGAAATCATAAACTGCACTTATTATGTTCCTGTATACGATGGGCCCGAAAAGTTAGTTTTTCACAGCATGATGCGGTCCAAATGGTAATGATTGCAATGCATGATTACAGGCAGTGGCGTGGCGCCCTGTTCGATGAATCAGTTGATTCGCCGTTTAAACCTATGGAAAAGAATCGATTATCAGGGTATTTTAGTATTCGATTCTTTGCCATAGCTTTAAATTGTATCATATCGATAGGTGTCGATTCATCCTCGCCGCTGAATGTACAGGAGAGGATACTGTTACATTTACACAAAATTAGTCTTTAGATGCACACGTGACTACATAGCATATAGACTTATTTTGAATAAGATGTCCCTCTAATACTGCTTGTGAACAAAATCAGGCGTTTCAAGACGCTCTAGGTTTTAGTGGCATAATCATGTTCGGGAACAGGATACGTAATGAAGTAAAGAAATATAAAAGAGGAAGAAAATGAGCTAAAAAGAATCAGTTTAAATTACTTGATGAGGGGAACTCACTTATGATTACTTTGTAAGGAAAGTGGGGAAATGGGCGCAATAAAGAAAAATACAATACGATAAAATATGTACATTGAAAACGAAAACAGGAGAGGAAAAAATAGGAAACTGAGCGATGGAGATGAACGATTTTGGTGGGGTAAAAAATTGAAGCACTGGATTGACATCAATACAAATTTAAGATACTAGGTATGCTAAACTCGGTAAGCTTTTGAGAGTTCTTCGCAATTTATAGAACAATTATTGGTCAACAGTACGTAACTAGCATTTTGAACGATCTGATGAAAATATTTCTATGCAGTTTTTAAAAACTAATAATCCGACGAGAGGGAAAAAGAATATTGCCAACTGACAAAATCAGAGACGAGGCGTGAATGATCAACTATCGATATTTCCCCATTTAAAGCTATGGTAAAGACTCGATTATTAAGGTGCTCGTTGCGAGCACCCTGTTTATCGATCCTTTCCCATAAGTTTAAAGGTAGATAAATCGATAAATTGCAAAGCACGCCACGCCACTGGACAAAATATACGGGGAGAAAAATACATTTATTCATGTAAATAAAAAAAAAAAAAAAAAAAAAAAAAAAAAAAAAAAAAAAAGCTATAAAACTTGCAAGATTCTAGAAAGTTGTTACAAGTCCCCCCATAAAAGATACTGATTATTTGACGGTTAAAATTTCTCATGATGCAATACCTACAGGCTCTTTTCAAAATTTGATTGGATCAACTCTGTGAGCAAAACTTGAGCGAGTCGTAAAACACTAAAAAAAAGTTTCTGCACTGGTGCAGTTGGGAGATAATTTTAGCTGTGAGATCATTTGCTGACAGAGATCGAAAATCACCTACTAGGTACACTAAAGGGGTAGTGGTTCTATCAATGAAAATTAAATAAGGGAAAAATATAATATTTGCAAACTCTATAATGAGGAAAGTGAGGAGAACGCTCTATTTTTTTCTCTCTTTAGAGAATCATTGATTTTTTTCAATTGCATCGGCATCCTTTTACTTGTGATGATATTTAAACATGTTTGTCAATAACAGTTGTGAGGCGCGATGTCATAAAAAACACAGATACATGCATTGACGCTAAAAGAGTACTTCGAAAATGAGAAAGACGTGACATCAGAATTGGGATTATTTTGAGGAGAAATGTGAGAAAGGAAAGAATGAACCGTACCTCTAGTCTATCGGAGCGCGCCATCTTTTGTTGGGCTGTGGTGGCGGCAACCACAGTTTGTTGAACCATTCCCAGGGATCCGGTTGGATCTTGGGCGACTAAAGTAGGCATCATTGGTGCTGGGCTAAAATATGGACTGAACGTGCTGTTAACTTGGGGCATCCCTGTTAAATACGGCGTCGTTGCCTGAAAAGAATCGGAACAACACGTTGAGGAGAGAAGGAAAAATTGCGGTATTCGCATATTTCAAGATAAATTTTTTTCTATCAGTTAAAGAAAAATCGCAGGTTGTTCCAATATTTGGTAAGCTCTGTTTGGCACCAAAATAGAATTTGATGGTTTAAAAACGGAGGCATGAGTCAATGAAAGGAATGTCCAAATGCATGGGCAAAATTTTATTCTTGCTAATTTTCCTACGAATGTAGGCAAATGCTGTGAGGTCATTTGGACTGCATTTTGCAATTTGGACCTATAAATTCTGGCTCATCTGAAAAAACACTAATGTGCATAGAGAAACTAATGGCGCATACGTTGTTTTTAAACCGGGCCGGAAATTATAGTTCCTAATTGCAAAATGTAGTGCATTTATCAATTCTGCCGTGCTGAGGAGAAACGCCGTATGAGCACTCGGCAGCTGCCAAATTTCGTCCAATAATTTTTTTTTTTGGAGAAATGTTGTGAACATTTTCTCTTGAAATTTTCAGATAATTTAGATCTGAGCTTGAATGAAATTAACTCAATAATTCGAGGAAAAATGTTCAAAAACTTCCCTAAAGATTCTTATTCTATCTACTTAAAGAAATTTGGCAACGTATTAAGGCTAGTACTGTGTTTTTCCTTAGCACAACATTATTCCTGGCTTAAAATAATTAGAAGCCGATATAAAACTTGTTCGATTCTCAGAATCATGTTGGAGGAAACCAGACTCTGCTCCTATGTGCAAACATGTTCGCCGTCTTTGGCAATGACTCCAAACTTACGCAGTTTTCTTTCTCTTTTTTTACTTTCCGTCATCAAAATCAAAAGAAAGAGTTATACTTAGCGAAGAAAGATAAATTGCAATTCTCTTTATGTGAAAGAGGTATAGAAAAAAAATTAAGTACTTAATTCTGTTTAAAACTTTAAATTAATCTTTCTTCAGAGAAAATAAGAAACTAGAGCATGAATACCCAATTGGCTCTCGGATTTTGATGAAGGTGACTACGGAGATAATAGGCAGTATGTAAAAAGAAAACTAAACATTGCTTCGGTTTTGAAACAACGGTTTAAGAAGAGAGCATGTAAACATTCGCATAGTGCAAGTAAAGGATAAAGCCCGCATCACTGCAATGAAGAGAATATAGGCAGCTTGTTGACAATAAGACACAGCTCAACGGAAGAGGATTGTAGAATTTTGGCATCGTAGAAGAAACTTAATAATTTTGACATTTTAGAGGTCCTGCATTTGTTTTTTTTTTCTACTGAGGGAAAAGTACAAAGTGAAACCACAAGCTCAAAACTTAGTTATTACTTTGATCTTCTTGGAAACTACTACTTGACAGGAAGAATCCTATACGAACATTCAAAAGTTTTCAAATTTTACCGGGCAATACGTGTATTTTGAGAAAAGTTATGCATATTTTCCCTTGAAATTTTCAGAAACTTTACACTAAATTGCGAACCAACTTATCTGAAAAAAATAGGAGGAAAAATATTCACTATTTTTCCCGTAAATTAGTTTTTTATTAAAGGAAATATGGAAACTGCTGAGCGCTTATACGGCGTTCTTCCTTAGCACGGTAGTAAAAAATAATGAGTTTCTTCAGATCAGTAAGTAATGACAGAGGTTGAAATAGAAGCTAATTTTAGAGCAAAATGGAAGCTTGCTAAAGCAAAACTATGCAGCTCTTTAACGTGGACTGCAGTTTGTTGATATAGTTCCTTAAATCTTGAGCAAAGGTATTCAGTGCCTAAATTCCCGAAATCTTTTATTTGTTTTCGACTCAGATAAGTACCGAAAAAGATAATCCGTAAACAACCTAGCTTATCTAAGATTCAGTTGCACATATATTTTAAATTAGCTTAGCTACTTAACGGAAAGAAGAAAACAAATAGTGAGGTCTATTAAAATATATGAGGTACTAATAAGCGCATAAAAAGGAGATATCTTTAGTACAAGCAAGGAACGTTAGGTCAGATTACTATTTACCATTAAGCCTAGTTGAGAGGCGTGCTGAAGGGCTGGGTGAGGGGCGGGGGCCAACGCCAGCTTACCTCCGACCTTTGCCAACAACAACATCAACAATTAAAAATTGACATCCACAACCAAACGCATAAAAAAGGAAAAATAAAATTAACAATGAAAAAGAAAAAGAGAGAAAAAAACAAATTAATCAAATTATGGGAAAAACCAGCAAAAAAAGTATATCAAATGAAAAGTTAAAGTAAATAAACAAGTTTTGAACCTAGATAAAATCTATGAGTAGGTAGTTAAAAAAGCAAGCTGGGTTTACTTGGAGGTGAGGAGTAATTTCACAGTTACATCTGATCAATTCTACAATTCGATGAGACTAATTACACCAAAGTTTGCTGGACACCCCCTCCTTCCTCTCTTTCGCTCCTCAAAAGTTGTAAAATCGGAAGTCAACCAAAACTCAATAAGGAGGAGGGAGTGGGTTTAGTCATGCTGATAAAAATAAATGATAAATTAAAAATATATATAATGGTGCTTCAGATGGCTCAAAATATTTTCTGTGCGCATGTTTGCCGCGTGAATACTACCCAAGTACAATAAGTACATCTAAGAGACAATACGTTAGGGCATGGCTTCGACATACAGTATAATTACCAAGCAAAAACCACATTTAAAATGCTTTCATTGACGGAAAAGAGCGCTAGGCTACTTTTTCTACTCTGACGGAACCTCAATGTTTCAGTCAGCAGTGTGCCCATTTTTTCGGTTATGTCCTTTTATTCGAAAATATTATTTTTCAACTGTGTCGTCAGTGCACATTATTAGACATCCTTCTCAATTTTGAGTGGATAAATGGGACAAAAACATATAACTGACAGCACCAAATATTTTCAAAGAGAGATCTTCACCGGTATAGGCTAATTATCTCGCGGAAAGAGAGAGACATTGAATAAATGAAGAAAATAAGAGGGAGGGAGAGAAAGAGCGAAGAATATTAAAATATTTGAGAATTCATTTGTGTACTTGGCTGCAAAAGCTTCATGAAATAAAATGCATATATAATTAGGCCAGGCACTTTAAAAGACGCTCCAGAACATGTACCAAAGGAGATTTTAAGGATTCTTTTATACATTAAGAAATATTAAGAAACTAAGAAAGAGAGCGAGAGATCCTTGAGATATTGAAAGGCCTGCACTTATTCAACAAGGCTACACACTACTGAGATGGCTGCGCTTGGGAGAACAGAAGCCTTCAAATATATATAAAAGAAAACATGAATAAATTAATAATTAAGTATAGAAGTGGACGTGGAAGGTGTGAGTATGTTACGTCTATGACTTCAAATATTTACTTTATTTAAAATGAGAAAATAAAAATCGGCGCATGCTTCTAGTTTCAATGTAATTTCAGCAAACATGCTTTTCAATGTGAGAACACGAGGGGAGAGTGAGAGAAAGCAATACAGGTTCAAAGGTGGTCAAAAGTGTCGTAGGCGACTCACCACTGTGGGAACTTGGCCTGGTACTAAAGGTTGCCCGGACGCCAGGCCCATTTGGTGCAGTAGGGCATTTTTCAAAGCTAAATGATTTCTTCCGTTTATTAAAAGTTGATCTTTCAGATGCTGCGGCGGATGGAAGTATTTGCAGGGTGGCTTGTCTCGATTGCATCGTCCCTGCAACAAATCAAAACAAAACACCGTCACTAAAACCATCTAGGATTGGTTCAGAGATGAAACGTAGAAAACGAAAAAAAAAAAAAACAACGCTTCGCCTTCGATTCATGACATAGGTAAAAATGGGCCCCAGAAGTTGCAATAGATTGGTTCAAAGGTAAAACGTAGACGACGATAAAAAAAAACAACGTTCCGCCTTCAATTCATGACACAGGCAAAAACGGGCCCCCAGAAGTTGCAATAGATTGGATCAGACGTAAAACGTAGACAACGAAAAAAAAAAAAAAACAACGTTCCGCCTTCAATTCATGACATAGGCAGAAACGGCAACGGAGAAGTTGATGCTTGATTCTTTTAAGTTGGCTTAAAATTATAAGACTTGTCAGGCTGATTTACAAGAATCAAGTTATCAAAACACGATGGACCAGCGCAACTGACCCATTAGAAGTAACATACCGTCTTCAATTCAAAATACAAGCATAAGCGGGCCTTTGTCATGGGAGGAGACGCGATAGCAGTATCATGAACTTATTTTAGAGGCTACATCTTGTCGGATCGATAAAGCACTACGTCGGCATGACAATAAATGGCACTCGATCGAGTCACTGGACCGGGAAATTACCAAGCCACCGTTATGAATAATCGTCACCAGAAACCGCTGGGCATTACTTTCGAGCTTTTCAACCCGAGGATACAGGACACAACCCTTTACCATTTTCACCCTTTCTTATCCACGATGCTGAAACCCTCACAATCCCACCTTCCATTTTCGGGGTGCACGTCACGAGAAACATCATTTCAGTCTCCAATAGCAGGGGTGCCGTAATTTCATTTGGATTTTACAATTCTTTTTGAAACTGCTCGCTTGTAAAACCGAGCGGTTCGAGGCTACATTTCTTTAGAATCAGTTTTCAACAGTATAATACATTCAGCCATTCTGGGAAAGGAGGGCGCATTTATAACAGAGAGGGTGCCTACTACAATTTAATTTTAGATTTCCTGATATTTTTCGGTAATTTTAAACGAAAATTTCTGAGTTTTTAACTAACATTCGTTTGATATTCCGAAATCGAATATTCGATGAAATAAATCAAAACGCTTGCAAACTGCTCGAAACACTCAGAATTCCCTGATCCACGACCGATTTTCCTGATATTTTCTGGACGGTAGACACTCTGTAATAAAAACACCTACACGGAAAAAATTAAAGGTTGATTTAGCATTTGTATTGTTAAAAACATGTCCGACAAATTTCAAATGCTGATTTTACATTTAGAGAAATGCTAATTTCACTACGCCCAATGTAAAACGAACAAATTCAAATGTTAAGTTAGCATTTTTGTATTGTAAAATCAGCATTTGAAACTTGACGGACTTTTTTTCACCAATTTAAATGCTAAATCAGCATTTAATTTTTTTCCGTGTATTTAAAGGCTATTCAAAAGCAGAAATGCCGTCCGAGAAAAAGTAAGAAAGTCGGGCTTTTCACAGACACCGTCCAATTTGTGATTGTAAACGGATTAGGGAGCTATGCAGCGGGCGGGGCGGGGGGCGGCTGGAAATCCCGGGAAAGCGGTCGAGGTCGAAGTTGGCCGGGAGGTGGAAATCTGGGCAGTGATCTGGACCTTACGTGAGCGAGCCCAGGTGCCGGGCCGAGATAAAAGGGATGACCACATAAAAGGGGTTAAGAGTCCCCGCGGTCGCGCGGTCGGGGTCGGGGTCGGGGCTGCTTAAGATACAAACAAGATATGAAAACCTCGCCACCGCAGCCGGATCCCTCACACACACGCACACACCCTCAACGGCACTCGACGAGGAGCAAAGTAAACAGGATTGTAATAACGAGTGGCATCACACGGTACAATGGCCGAATACAAGAGGGTCCTTGTCCAGTTTATTAAATAAAAAGGGAGCCGCGGGGAGGGGGAATAAAAAGTTGAGGAGAGAAAAAGCTTGACGATATTTGCACGGAGAGAAATTAGATTACAGGATGAAAAGTACACAAAGTTGTGAAAAGAAAAAGGAGCGAGGAGGGGGTAGCGTGGGACGCGAAGGACGGGCACCTGGACCGGAGGGGGGGGGGGGGTAAAATTAAGCGAGCCCTGGACTCCTCACACTCGTCATGTCGGACTGTTCCTGCCGTGCGAAGGAAAAATGCCGTATGAACATTCGAGAGTTGCCGAATTTCCTTCGATAAAATGTTAATTTTTGAGGAAAGCTATAAATATTTTTCCTAGGAATTTTCGGGAACTTTAGGGGAAATTGCAAACAGAATTATCTGGAAAATTGGAGGAAAAATATTCACACATTTCCCCGCAAATTCGTGGTTTACCGAAGGAACTTTGGCGACGCTTGAAGGTTCATACGGCGTTCTTCCTTATCACGGCAGTGTTTCTGTTGCCGTGCCCCGACGTGAGACAACCAAATCGCGAGTTTTTCTTTCGCCATCAACGATTCAAACATCAGTCGGAGCGCCGGCCGTTTCATACTTTAATTTATTGTCATGGCGGTACGCTTCAACAAGGAAGTCTAACGTATAGAGAATTGGAATATTGTGTCAGGAGTGACCTCTGGTGTGAGGTGCTTGCAAACTTGGGCATGGACACGCAAAAGAACTGTAAAAGAACTGGCCGCAAAAGAACTGTACCCTCCTCCTGATTCTTCAAGTCGTTGCTCCTGTGACGTGGGGGAGTATTCGTGGGAAATCGTGTTCCGTGTAAAATTTTGGTTGAGAATAATTTACTAGAATGCTTAAATTCGTACCTTGTCAACAGGTCCGCTAGAAGTCCCGTCTCTGTAATGATTTTCTCTTCGTTTCTCATAACAACGCCTTGATACCACTATTCGTGGCTCACGGATACGCGTGTTGCTTATGAAAAATTGAAGGCGTTTCTCACACCGACGAGACGAGTGTTCCTGGATTTCAGAGGTCCCTAGCTTTCAGGGATTTTAAACGTAAAATTCCATCCGTCTTCCCAGACTTTCCAATGTTATTTTTTTGTCTGGCATTATATTTTAGAAACATGAAACCCAGAGAAAAATTTGAGAACGAAGTCTCTTGGAATAATTGAAGAAATGCAATATTTTCACTGGCAGAAAAATTTCCGCGGCAAAATCGACGGGCTTTTCCTGAGGTTTTCAGGGTTAGGAAAAATTCCCTAACTTTCCATGCACTTGTCACCTTGGGTTTTATTGATTTTATCAGCATTTTGCGACTGTAAACTTGGGATTTTCAAAGTTTCTGCTATTTTACATTGGAGGCTATTTCCCAAAAAATCACGTCGGTTATTTCTGCGATGATTTGCTTACCGCAAATTTCAGTCGATTGAATCGCAAATCTTCCGCGGAAATACGCTAAATACGCCAATTCAAATACGCCTCTCAAATAACCTAACTCGAATATTTCGAATAAAACTAAGCTGCGTATTTAATGACTGAAAATTTGGCAAGGTAGTAGATAAAAAAAGTTGCGGCGAAGAAATGGACGTATTTACGCTAAAAGGAACTATGTTAGAAGCAAACCCTATGCACATAGTTCCTTTCAGCATAAATACGTTCAAATGGCGAGGGTCCACGCGGTGGAGAGAAGGATGGGTCCGTCACGTATAAGCCGGTCTAAAAGCTTGAATATCTTGGCTTCTCACAAAGAGCATGAAAAATGCTTTCCTTTCACTACCGCCAACCCCGATTATACTATCGGGACCGGGACATTCAGTTCAACCCGGTGATTTTTCGTTAGCTCTCGGCGAGCGCTCTGGAGCCTTCCTACCGCTGCAGTATTTTTTTCTGAAAAAAAAACCCAAAAAAACAGGTAGCTCCCGGGTTTGAACATTAAGTTGCTCTTTCATTCATAGAATAACGATCACAACGTCAGGGTGCGTGATGCCCTCTTCACACGAGCGGATAAAGTTTTTGAGATGGGCAGTCGATGCCTTTTCGAATGTTTTCGTTGGATATTGGATATTGGTTGGCATTCTTGTATTAGCTTTTACACTACGATAATTATTGCTTCTCAAAGACTCGAATCGTGTAATGACATCTTGACGTGGTAGGTCCCTAGAGCACTTAGAATCAGTGGCGATTTTTCAAGTTGACAACTCTGTTTTTCCTTCATTTGAATCCATTAAAAAAATCGACTTTAGGTGAGGCAAGCTACCATACTCGCCAAGAATCGATTGTTTTTCACATACTGAAATGGAGGAAAACCAATGCTGCCAACTTTCAAGAATTTTCCCCGCTTAGAATCACCTTGAACCTCAAGGATTTCTCAATCCGAGGAAGGGTAGATACAGCAATGGAGATGTTGCATGTGTGAGGAATTTGCGATTTGACTGTTGATTCTTATGTAAAAGTTCGCGAGAAACACTAACACGCTAAGGTGCCACTGGTTTTCTCTGAAATCCACTCCCAAGCTCAAAAAAAGCTCTCAAGTTGAAGCCCAAATGGAGGGGATATCTCACGCTATCCTGAGAGTCCACCTCTACATCAAGACAAACTCTCTATGCAAAGATAGGGAGCAAATACATTGACAGTGATGCCGTGTTTTCAGTTTTAGAGTCCCCAAATAAAGTGGAAGCCCTGTCAATGTATTTGCCCCCTATCTTTGCATGGAGAGTTTGTTTTGATGTAGAGCTGGACTCTCAGGGTAGGGTGGGATATCCCCTCCATTTGGGCCTCAACTTAAGAGCTTTCATTGAGCTTGGGAGTTGATTTCAGAGAAAACCAGTGGGACCATCGTGTTTCTCGCGAACTGTTACATAAAAATCAACAGTTAAATCGCAAATTCCTCACACATGCAGCATCTCCGTTAGGCAACACAGGATTTCCCCCATTCAAACCTGTTAGACAATCGATCCTTTTCGGAGCACTTGGTCCTTCAAGAGTCGAAACATTTCCATAGGTTTAAATGGAGAAAAAACAATGCTGCCAAATTGCTGAATCCGCCGATGAATCCGAGAATCCCTTTCCGACCGTGAAGAGTCAAGAGGCTACAGGACCTG